AAATATTGAAGATCACTTAAAACTTAGGGAGTGGTTTCCCTCCACCACTACAGAACTGCTGTCAAGTGGATTGGGTACTCCAGGAGATGATATGAAAAAATCTGAAAAGTGGATGGAGCCTTTTTAAAAAAGATTTATTTAACCATAGTAGCTTTGCATTGATCAGCACAAGTATCTGAAGTTAAACAAAGGGATTTAAGAAGAAACATTATTTCTTAAAGTGTTTTCATCTTCACTTAAAGAAGTATTGCAATCACAATGATTTATTTAGAGTGATGTTTCATTTCTTTTATTTATGGGCATATAGGAATGTATGGGATAAAACCGTGATCAGATATTTTTATCAATGTTTCCTGATCAGTACAAACTCCTGATAGGAAAACCTCCTCTGTGCAAAACGTTAGCAGGAGCCTAGCAGGACATTTAAGTTCCACTTACATCTAGAACTCCGATTCACAAAAGCGACTCGATCAGCTGAGGACATGCAGAGCCTCACTGAGACGGATGAATGAAATTCAGGCCCCACTGAAGTCAGTTTGTGTCTTAAAGTCCAATGAGACCTAGATTCCACTGTGGCCCTTCTTGCAGTGCTCTCAGCACCCTTCCATAGATCAATTCATAATAGGGGTCTTGAGCTTTTCCAGTAAATGGTCTTTTTGGAGGCCCTTTAATCAGGAGTGAATATCACCCAACAGACACAACAATTACTCTACAAAGATATTACTTCCTATGACAGCTTACACAGAGATGGTGAGGCCACAAATGACTGTGAAACAAATATTCACTCCAGTTTTACTCCAGAGGTAAAAGGGTGGGAAGATGCTCCACATCAACCTTCAGATTTGAGAAAAGGATTTAATGGTTTAGGTCTAAGTACCTAAACAGAACTAAGGAGACTTTCTATCTGACTCTCCAACTTGATAAATTGGTCAAAACACCCGTACACACCCGCCATGTGCTCCATCTACTTGAATCTTTTCAGCAGTAATATACCCACGATGACCCTCACTAGAATTGTGATCTCAATAGATTTTTGCAAATTTTGTGTTTAAAATATTTACGTGACTTGAGAATACTATCTCCAGTTTACTTTATATGAGTATTTGAGCATATTTGAGCAGAAAAAGTATGTCATGGTAAAGCTTTCAAATATTTTAAACAGGCTTTGTAGACAAATTATTGAAGATTTTTCTTTAATAAAGCAGAGTGGCATGCTATCAAAAGGCACAAATACATTTCCATTATCCAGTCTAGGAAACAGAAAAATGGCATGATTATTATACTACACTCTGATGATTGGCACCTAAATAAGTAATCAAAGTAGTCATCATCATAAAAAGAAAGCCACTTTTTTGGATGAACATCAATGCAGAGGCTGAAGACAGCAGGTGGAATTTACTATACCTGGGACTGTTGTCAAACAGCCTTTGTAGATGACTGTCACTGTGTAACTACATTGTATATATCTATGAAGAGATAGAAAGTAGGCCCAATCCTGCAAGCTCACCTATGAAAGTACATCTGTCATCCTGCTCACATCGACCCCACTGAGGTCAGTGGGGTGCCAGATGAGGGGTGGGTTCAACCACACAAAATTTCTTGCAAGACTGAGGCCTAAATAAATTAATCTTTGTCACATTAGGCATTAGCATCACCAGAATAATAAATATTTCTGCAACCACAAAAAAATCTTATAATTTGAAAAAGACAAATAAACAAAACCAGAAAAAACTCTCCAGAGTACATTTGTATACTAAATTGTAAAACATTAATTAAAACTTTTGTTACTATTGTGGCAAACCAGAATTCAGGTCTACTAAAAAAAAAATATAATAACAAGAAGCTCTAAGTCATTTTACTTAATTTTACTCGTTATTTTTTGTTGAATAGAGATTGTCACTGCCACATTCTGTATCATTAATAATTTCAGTGGCTCCCTCCCACCCTCATCTCTGGAGTATGTTAGCATAACAATTCAGATTACTTTTACAAATAGTTATATTTTGTCAACTCTTCTGACATTTCTTACTAACACTTAAAATTACTTTTAGACAGTAAAAGTGACATTTATACAGATACCTGTTTTTTTTCTTTTTAGTCTAGAATAGGAAAAGAAAATAAAGAAATGATGTTATTCCAGTTCCACACAAATCTTACAAATTACTATGTGCTGTCCCTCATTTGGAAATATTTGCAAATATCAGTGGTTTTAAGCATTCTTTCATAGTTATAGTTTGGCTTTCTCCTGCACAGCAGTCAAAGCACAAGAGAGAACCTATTAATCCACAGACCAAAAGGTATGCTTGGAACAGTCCATCAGTAATTTAGAACTGTTTAATTGTCAGCCCTCTCATAGCCCAACTGGCAAGAGACTTAACAGCAGGAAGAAAATAAATACTCCTGAAAATAGCTTTTGATTTGTAATCCAATATAGTGGAAAATGTTTTTGCTTCCAATATTGAAATAATTTTGCAGGATATTTTACTTGTAAAGAGTAGCACAGTTGTATTAATAATAAATGTGCTAACAAGACCTCTTAAATTCTTTAATCCCTTTACATTGTAATTAGAGGCCATATTAGGAAAAAGAACCCAACAAACCACAACCACCAAAAAACAAAATCAAAAAAACCCAATATTTAACTGTTAGGCCACAAAGGTGTTTTGTGTAAGTCTCAGTAAGAAGTACTAAAATTTGAAATGCGTCTACAGTTGAGCCTGGACACTGTTAGCTCTGCCCACATTGTATAGGAACCTTGTTGTGCAAATGATCATGCTGGCTTCAGAAAAAGCACCATTTGCCTAGCAAAGCTTGACTTATGTGAATATGTATAGCACCACCTAACTTTGTGATGGCAGGTAGAAGAGAAAAGGATGTTTCCTATCTTCATCCTCATCCTGGTAAAAATACTGCATGAGATGATGTGGGTTGCAGATGTTCAAGCCGCACCAACCACGTTACTCTCAACTGCTGGAATTTTCCAGGCCCCTTCCTTACATTTTTATAGAGGGAGGAAGCCCAGCTGCAAATACATACTTTGTAGAAAGAATATATGTTCATATATATATATAAATAAGACAACTGGTTCTTTTAATTATAGGTTAGGGGGCAGTCCTGCTCACTGTGTACTTAGAAAGAAACAGGACAGGAAGCAGCTATTTGGTAGTACTGTCTGCTCAGTATGTGGGAACAGCAGTGAGAGGTCATAAAGGAATATCTTCATCTTCCCTTCACCCAGAAGCAGTGCCTTAGCACTTAAAGAAACTTATTTGCAGCAGTTTTAAATTATTCTCTTTCACAACTTTCATCCCACATTGCTATCTCCTCTTACCCATTCTTTTCACTTTGGTACTGGTTTTGTAGGAACTTGGCCTCTTATCCTAGCCACACCACTGGTATGTCCTCAACTACTTGGTTCACTGTAGGTACTTCCCAAAGTGAGGAAAAGTTGTAAGAAAACACATAAAATTACTTGGTTTTGAAAAATAAGAAAGATCTATGAATTAAATATATCCTCCTCAGCTTCCTCAAATGCACTAAAGCTTGGGTTAACAAGCAGGTTAACCTGCCATTTTCCTCAAATTTAAGGATACTCTTTCACATTTGACTTTTGGCTTTACTACACAGAATTCAACCACTTTGCCATGACCACAAAATATCAGCTAAGGGTTGATGACATTCTGTGGGAAACTGGGAAGTATAAGGACTTCAAATATGAGCAAAATTCAGATATAGTGTGGAAAGGACGTAATTTTCCGAGTAAAGCTATGCTTAAACCTCAGGTATGAATAGATGTGGAAAATCCACAAGGTACTTTACAATTTACTCCTGACAAGTAGAATTTTTCAGTCTAGTTTTCTATATAGTTTGTCTACTTCTTCCAAAGCAAGACTTTGAAGAGATTGGTAGGTGTGGATACACTATGCTGGAATGGAAAAAAAAAATATTGCTCCAGTTAGTGGCATCATTAAATCAATCATAATAAATAGGAATTAATTTTGCATCAAATAAATCAGTCAAATTTCAGTTGAACATGTTAACCAGATAATAAAAAGGATTATCTTAACGAATGCTTGACAGGAAAAAAATGTATTTGATCTAATACAAGATACTATTAATAATTTAAAACTGTTCCTAACTGTTTAGCCAAAGTCTTCCTTTCCATCTGTTCTTATGGGGGTTTTTGTTAAGACAAAGTGTATGAAATCATAAAGGAACAAGTGCTACTTTAATAAGGCCAACTTTTAATATTTCATGTACTGATTTGGGGACAAAATGGGTCTACTACACTAAAATGCAGTTTTAACCCTTGACTAAATGATTAGAACTAAAAGAACGAATACTGTATATGTATAAATATTTTGGGACAAATAATGTGAGCTTGTGTTTATTGTAAGGTTTTGCTTGAAGCCAAGATTATGATCAAAAAAGAGTTTTCTTTTCACACCTTTGCTGCATTTTAGTTCACATGCAACCTCCAAAACTTTAGTAGAGAAAACATGAAGCACTGAAAATCCTGGAGCCTTTCAGAGTCACACTCATGTAGTTAGGATGAGGCCAATATACTGCTACTAATTATTTAGCCAATTTAAATCTGTACATTGTGGTTATCTTTTTATTTTACTGAAGACCTAAGGTGAAACTGCAGGTGGAGCTGGCTCTATATTGAAGAGTGTCTTTTTTTTTTGTTTGCTTCAAGTGATAAGCACAGCTGGAATGACTACTGAGTGTCTGCCAGTACTAAGGTCTTAAACATTATACTGAGACTGATTTTCTTTTTTTTAAAGGCAACCTAAACTTTTGCTTCATTATAAATGGAAACAAATACAGCAATATATGGCACTTTATGTATGTATCTTACACTGTAAGATCTGGAGAGACCTGATGTGTTGTTTGTATTTAGGGGTGCTTTGTAACTAGTCTTCTGAATAGACATACTTTGTCATATAATAAATTACAGTTCTTATTCTGCAGATTTTTCAAATTTATACCATGGGACTTGGTATCAGCAAAACTGCATACTAAAACCATGAACAAAAAAATAGAAAGGAACTGTAGACAGAAACTGTTTCATCATATGTACACATGTACTAACTATTCCAAGCTTAAGTTTCCCAAGGAATTAAGGTCAGCTGTAAAGTTTTGGTCACAGGGTTACTTAATCCAAATGCATTATCCAGACAGCTGTAGTTTATCTTATTATGCTTTGCTATCATCTTCTTTTGACTGGATGATGTCATTAGCAACTTTGATTTCTATGGTTTCTGGATTTAAAGCTTCTTTCCCATTTTCATCCTTTAGTGGCAGCTTCCTGTCAGAAGAAAAGAGGAATCATGGTAACACATAAATAACACATAATCTGGAATTTAAGTTTACAACATATGTATTGCTTATACAGTTCGTAGTGTTTCTAAAACCATAATTATTTGAAAATAATGTATAACTATTTTATTATGAGCACTGAGGTTCTTTGCTTTTAGAGAAATTGATATTAACTCTTTCCATTTCTATAAAGCCAGACAAAGCTAAATGGCACATGATAAGATCATTGCTGCTGTCCAAAACGCAGTTTCTTCAATAAGACAAAAGAAACAATAGAATGCCAAACAACTTGACCCAAGACAGTACAGAGGTATATGTTCCCTAGGATACCATGAAACACTTACAGTCAAGCCTTCGGCTGAATCTAGATTATGCTCTTTTTTTATGCCTGTTTCTAAATGTAAATTCAATTGTATACGAAAGAGGACACCTATCACAGGAGGTTATGCCAAGACATAGGTAAAGGAGAGAAATTCTTGTAGCACAAGGAGGTAATGGAAATTATTTTATTATTTAGAAATTTCTACAATTTATTTTTGCCAGATCATACAATCTAGCTGCATTAATAACATAGCTCTTTTAAGACTAACTTAGAGAAAACACTGAAGAGTTTTATAATCCTTAATTCCAATGGCAAAAGAGTTCCCACTCTTATTTTACAGGAACTACAAAACACTGATTTCGTTCAAAAAGGTCTTGAAAAACATTGATTCCCTACTGCCAGGAGTTAGTTGTCAAAAAATCTAGCTGTCAAAAATATGTATGTTTTACTCAGCTGTTCCTGTAATAATGCCTCCTGGGCATAATATCTGTTAATCATGATTCCAGTTTGGGTTTGCTTTCTGTTTTTTAACTAGGGAATAGTATGCATATGCCTTTATTATTCATAATAACTGTTAAATGTTTCAGTAAATTTCCACTGTGATTGCTTTGATATCCCGAAGAGCAATATACTGTTCAAAAACTGTCTGAGGTATCCCTTAGGAATGTCTTGTAATAACGGTGTTTAATAACAACAAATCAAACAAAGCAATACCTAAATTCTCAGTCTTATGAAATTTAGGCTGTCTGAAACAAACTAAGAAAGATGCTGTTTATCTAGAGGTTAAACAACAAGCACAATCTAAGTCTGAGAGAAAACAAAGAGGAGACTAACTTGTTCTATTACAGTAAAATATGTGAGAAATATATCAGCTGTCTGGCTTTGAGCACAGAGGGAGTTCTCCACTGATTGTCTGTTTCACATGGCACACCCAAAGGAAACAGACTTCAGCCCATGACAGGACACCTGAAAGAATGGAAACAGCAGAATTGACACAAATCTATTTTTAAAAGAGGATAAAACACTGGGGCAGAGGAAGCACGGCTCATGAGATGCATTTCAGGTAAGAAGGCACCTGTGTTAAAGGCCTGATAATGCAAAGCACTTAAACTGCTATTAAAAAAAAGACCTTATTTAATCTAGTTTTATATAAAGGCAGAGTAATTTCTCAAAAGATGGTGCTGAAAGGGAGGAAATATTTAGTCAGAGTAAACACTGGGCAATTGACAGAATACACTGTGTGGAAATTTAAATAAATTGGTTTTGGGGAAGTGGATTAAGAACATGTTACAAATAATTTGAAATTATTTGAAATAGAAAGATTTGCTAAAACCCTGTTGAAAGATACCACATATTACTGAAATCCATGCTCATGCAAACTGTGATAAAATTAGCCTTGCTTTCAATGCAAGCAAGGGGAAAAGAAAAAGAATGAAAACCAAATAAAATGTTTTACAAGTTTTCCTCATCAAAAAGTCTATCCACCTTTCTTTGACCTTACTGTCTTTAAAAACTTGAGAGTTTTTTTGCATATGATCTGAAATTATCAGTTCAGTTATCATTAGACATTATCCTCTTTGATGACATTTTTTTATTTTAGAATTTTCCTCTCCATTTGATTCAAATATTAATTCATATTTAATCTCTATTAACAGATTCCATAATTTTCCTCTTTTTATTAACTAAATCAGGTTGAAATGTTCTAATTACACCAATTTTCCTACACCTATTTTTTCTTTAGCTACATCTGTTTGAAATAATTTTATATTTTTCAGCTGGGCAGACCAATCATTTCAAATCTTACAGTATTTTATAATAAAAGCTTTTTTGAAGGAAAAAAAAAAGACTAGAGAACTTTAAAAGGTTCTTTTGCTTTAATCAGATGCTGGCTGTTGTCAATCATTAATAATATTGACTTCCTATAGCGCTGCATGTGGCCTAACTGCAATAGCCTGCTGATATTACTCATACAAAATTTTAACTAGAATATTTACTTTCCTATTTTATAGGAAAATGGCTTCTAGCCATTTTGATACTGGAATTCACCCAGCTTCATTAATACTAAGAAAAACTTAAGAGAAACACAATAATGTCAGACTAGGAATGTAAATATAGTACCACATTTCATGTGGTATTTTAATTATATTACAGAAATGTAACATGAAATGCACAGCTTAAATTGATTTCCTGCTAGCATTATTAAAACTTGTTGACTTGCAGGTAAAAGTGCTTTGTGCTCATCTGTCATACATTGATCTCAAACTTGGCTTTGACAAGAATCATCTGAGTCAAAATGTAGATCGTCAAATAATATGCTAAGGAATATAATGAAAATACTCTATTACTGTAAAAGGAAGTCAAGTCTTTATTAATTATTTCCCACAAATGCATTTAAATTGCATTTAAAGTTCTGAGTATAATTTGGTATCATTCAAAATAATTAAACTAATTATTCAAAATATTTCATCTGATGTAAACTGAAGGCTTATCTTGTATACCTTTAAGACACCCATAATTAGTCAGAATGAATCCCACCTTGTATGAACATTGCCTGCCTGGAATGTCCTTGAAACTTTTCCTTTCTGCAAACAAAGCTCTTCCCTCCAAGATCCCCACTGGTCATCCTCACCCTGCTCAGCATGTGCCTTTCTGGCTGATAGCACCTGTTATTGACAATGTGTTTTTGTGTTATTCCTACTGAGAGACTTAGTTCTACCCTACTGCGTCCTCCTTTCCTTTAGTGGTGTCTCACCCGTACTTTATGTTGCTTCTGTTTCATCGGTTATGACCTGTGTCTGAGGAGAAGTTGTTTCCATGTTCCCCTATACCAGTGTCCCTTCAGATGTCCTGACTGCATGATGCTCTATTCATTTTGGTTTCCTAAATTACAAGGTCCCAAATCTTCAGCTGACCTCTGTCCAGCTGTACCTTGGACTGCTGCCTTTTGCCATTTGTTGTGGGAGAAGAAATTACCAAGAAGGAAACTGTCATAATTATTAATATCTCTTAGCAGTCCTATTCTCCCAAGGACATAATACCCATCAAACTCCTTATCAGTTGTTCCTATGATTTAGTTATTTTTTCATGCCACCAGTGACTGATTCTTTCCCCGTCCCCTAAGATAATAAAACATTTATTTTAACTCTCATATTCCACTCCTGTCAGCTGTTCTAATGACTGGGACAAGCAGGAAAAAACGGAACTTAATCTTTCCTGGTATCACGTCCCTTGGTAGATGAATCTCATTTGTATTTGCAAGATCTGGTGTTACAAATAGTCCTGAAGCACAAAAAAATGTGGCCCTGGTGCCTTACCCACTAACATATCCAAAGCCTGCCGGACTTGTACAATGTTTTCCCCTGACTCCTTAGATAACTGTGGGTTCTCTACAGTGCCCCTCATTATAAATCCTAATATGAAGAGCAAACATATCACTAGTCATTTAACAAATTCCATAATTATTTAATTAACACAAGTTTGAAGCCTTCAGGTACAGGTTCTTTAAAGAAGTATATAGCTTAATTGTGCGTTTCTTAATACCCCCCCCCCCCCAACCCCCCCCCCCCCCATTTACTACAAATGCCAATGACAGTCAATAACACAAGCTTTTTTCTTATTAAAAGTTCTGGCTTTTGCAGATCTAGATAATGGCAAGGAAGGTAATTTTGTTGTATTTTCAGAAAGAGAAAAAGTCTGTTTTATAAGAACATCCTCTCCTTTTAAAAAACAACTGTGATACCATCAAATAATCAACAGGTGAGTTTCTATATTTACTACAGAAGTGTCTTCATAGCTCTGACAGCTTTAAGATCTCATGAGGTAGGAGACTTTCACAACACATGAAAAGCTTTGGGCTCAAGCCAAAGAAACTTGGAGCTTTCTTTAGTAATCCCAAATCAATCAACTTCTGAAGCTCAGAAATGAAACTCTTGAGCAATCAGTTCATGTCTTTTAACACCACTAGGTGGGCGCTCAATAGAAGGAATGGCACTGTCATCACTTCTCTTGAAATAATAGTTTCTTTTCAAACTAAATTTTCAGAATTAAAAAAAAAATAATATCAGAAGCTCTCTTTGTAATAGTAAGCTTAGCAAAATACCAGCTTGCTTGTGCCCCATCACAAATGTTATTCTACCCTCCACACAAGTTTTGAAAGGTGCTATTCAGGTACAAACACCAGCCACTCTACCCAGTTTAATCTGTTCCAGGGGCTGCCACACAAAAGGGAGAAGAGGACCTGACCACCAGCGTCCAGGATCCCTGAGGCCACAGCTGGTCCCTGTGACTCAGGAGGCCACCAGAGCCTGCAAGCCCAGGTGAGAACTGCTGCAGTTTCTGTGCTGAGAGCAGCTTGCAGGGATGGGAAGGGGGCAGGAAGGAACTCAGCAAAATGGCTGCCCTTCAGTGCTATTAATCCAATTACACCACATGGACTTAAATACTGAGCTAAGCTCTCAGTTATGTGAATGAAAGCAGGAAGGGACCACCCTGTGAGGAGATGGGTTTCTGGAGCATGGGATCATTCTGCACTACATACAGGGTGTGTGGGGGGATGTGTGTGTGACTCAATCTAAGGCTATTCCTGAGAGTCAGGAGATTATTCCTGCAGGGTGGTTGATAGCTGCTGGGTAGGTGGCAAAGATCAGCTGCACCCAACAAAAAAATCCTCCTATTCCTGCTCAGCTACCACTGCAGGGTTGGGAGGACTGTGGGGGTGAGGTGCCTGCAGGTGCCAGGGCTGAAAGAGAAGGTGGCAGGGCTGTGACCTGCCTCTGCCGGCCGTGGTTCCCCATGGGTTTGGAGGTTAGCCGGGAGCGACAGAGGAGCACCAGGGGCAAGCTCTGGTGCAGCTGAGAGCCAGAGAGTGCAGGCAGAGCCTGTCCCTCACCCTCCAACCCCTGAATGCAGTGAGCAGAGCTGGGGGCAGCAGCAGCATGTGGGTCCATGTCCCATTGGGGCCAGGGCTGGGCACAGGCTGCTGATGAGGCTGGAGCTGATATGGGGCTCCTGGCTCCTGGGCAGGGGGGACCAGTGGGCTGAGGAGGGCAGGGCAGAGCTGCCTGCACCTCCCCACCCTGACACAAGGTCTGTTTTCACCAAGAGCACAGGAGGAACTCTTCAGGAGTCAGGGCATCAGGGCGGGCCAGAAAATTTCCCCAGATACTCGCTAACCTCCAAACAGGTGGTGGTGTAAAGATATGCTGCAGGATTGCCGCTATCACAGTATTGCCATCCAAGGGCTGAATAATGCTTAAATGTGGTTGTACTCTGGGTCACAGAAAGAAGAGAAAATGTCTAGTCATAACCTCAGTTGTGGTTTGTGGGGTACCATGATTTAGATCAATTACTGTAAAAAAAAAAAAAATCACACTTGTACATTGCATTGTCACAACACACCATTCTGGTGATGCTGTGTATCTCCCTCCCAGAGAGAAGGAAGGCCCAGTCTGTCCTCGCAGCCAGGAAGAGCTTGTGTGAAACTGCGGGGAATGTCAGGCTACTTACTCTGGTTCTGTGAGGGGAGTTGTCTCATTTGGCTCATTTACTGGACTCCCATCTTCATGATTAGTAATTCTTTCATCCTCTGTTCTCATTTCCACTATTGGCTCTTTTGATCCGTCTTTCCTAAAAATTATTAAAAGAGTCTTAGTCTTATATCTTCATATTAACCACATACATTGCACGTAACTAATTACCAAGATCCCGTCTCTCAAAAGTGGGCAAAGAAAAGGCAGAACTAATTATCAGTGACTAACACCACCAAGACACATTTAGCAGTGTGTTCCCAATTCCTTGAAGTCTTCAAAGCATCCTGTATCCATGGTTACCTACCTAACTCTGCAAACATCACGGATTAGCATCTCAAAAGAGCATTTTGTTTACGACTAAATAATAAGACGATGGCCTCTTCATGGGAATAGATGTAAACTTTTGTAACCTAGCACAATAAATATAGGACTTGATGCCTAATTATGTTTGAACTTTTCTGGCAGTGTAAAGAGCATTTATGTTAGTATACATACTGCAGAAGTGTACTTTATCTCCCGAGATTGTGATAATCCCAGCTGCCAGAACAGGGTAAAGAGCCCTTGTGTGGTAATAATCTAGCCCCTTCTGCTTGCACGGGTAGAAGAAACTCTTTGTTTCTATGTCATATTTCCCTCATTTTAGGAACAAATGCTAGTCACGCACATGTAAGTAAGTGAATAATCTTTGTGCTAATTGGACAATGAATTGAAGGAAGATGGAGTAGTGACTGTTGTCATGCTTTTGTTGATAATCATAGAATCATAGAAGAGTTTGGGTTGGAAGGGACCTTTAAAGGTCATCCAGTCCCACCCCCCTGCAATGAGCAGGGACATTTTCAGCTAGATCAGGTTGCTCAGAGCCCCGTCCAACCTGACCTTGAATGTTTCCAGGGATGGGACATCTACCACCTCTCTGGGCAACCTCTCCCAGTGTTTCACCACACTTACTGTAAAAAATTTCTTCCTTATATCTAGCCTGAATCTACCTTCTTTTACTTTAAAACCATTACCCTTTGTCCTATCACAACAGAGCATACTAAAAAGTCTGTTCCCATCTTTATTATAAGCCCCCTTTAAGTATTGAAATGCTGCTGTAAGGTCTCCCTGGAGCCTTCTCTTCTCCAGGCTAAACAACCCCACCTCTCTCAGCCTTTCTTCATAGGAGAGATGTTCCAGCCCTCTGAACACCTTTGTGACCCTCCTCTGGACCTGCCTCAACAGGTCCATGTCTTTCTTGTGCTGAGGACTCCAGAGCTGGACACTACTCCAGGTGGGGTCTCACCAGAGTGGAGTAGAGGGGCAGAATCACCTCTCCCGACCTGTTGGTCACGCTTCTTTTTATGCAGCCCAGCATACAGTTGGCTTTCCGGGCTGTGAGTGGACATTGCTGGGTCTTGTCCAGCTTTTCATCCACAAATACCCCCAAGTCCTTCTCCACAGGCCTGTTCTCAATAATATGGCCATGGTATGGAAATAGCTACTCACTGCTACAAAAGTATTAACAATATTAATACTAATTAACTTGCATATAATTTTACTCTCAAAAGGCAGATCAAAGGATACCAAAGACATATTTGATATTTCCAAAATAAAACCTCTTTCCATGCAAATATTTCACCCCTGTTCCTGTCATCAGATCAGGAACTATATCATGCATGGAACTTCATCAGCTGCAGCCTGGAAACAGAGGGTAACTGAGTAACAGATGAACAATCACTTTTATATTTAATAGACTATTTTCTGGACCTGTGACGTTCTGGAGAGCAGTCAGACTGCTATGTGCCATAGCAAAAACCTAGTTAAATCCTTGTCTAATTCATGTCTCACATTTGCATATTGTTCCTGGGAAGATAATTGTTAAACAGGCTGTTACAACTACAATAATCCATTTATTCAGGAAGTACCTGGAAAACTCTACCATCCTCTGGTAGGTATCCTCAAGGAAAATCTTTGTAGTTTAATAAGAGTGTAGCACAGATAAATGTGTAGCCAACAAGTTGACTAAGGAAGAATTAATGGGTAGAAGTCTAAAAGATTCTCGTTATTTAAAAAAAAAAATTGCATACGGTTATTCACCTCTGCAAGTGCAATTCTACTTTAAGATACACAAATAAATACAATACTCATTTCTATAGATGATACACATAGCTGTCATGGCTACCTCATATCTATTACAAGATTACAGATCATAGCAGGACTGGTGGAGGGAATTGTAAGTTCTACTTGGTTTGTCTGTACATCTACATTCTTACAGACAAACATACATTATTGCATGACCAAAAGCCTATGAAAGATGTTATTTGTGAACAGCATTCACACAGGACTGAGAAATTGATCTGTACAGAAAGTACAAACTGTGTAACAATTAAAAATTCCACAAAAGGGAAAGTCATTTGTAGGAAACACATTATGTCACTTCTGTTCCAGGTGGCTACGTGTATGTTACATGCATCGTATCATCTACATTCTTTACATATGGAACATAATTAATGCCTATATATATGCTACAATCAAAATGTAACAGAGAACTGTACCATAAACCCACTCAAAAACCCAGAATGTGAACGAACATATTTAAAATAGGGAAATGTCTTTGTCTTTTAGGGAATGCCAGCTAGCATGAAATAAATTAAAATTTTGACTCTTCAAGCCTATCTTGAAATTTTAGCCTGACAGTTTATTTATGCAGAGAACAGGCTAAAATAAGAACAGTCCCAAATATCTTAAGATCTGACTGACTGAAGTTCACCCAACAAGGAAAGAAATATAATTAAATAAGATAGTTGTTCTTCAAAAGAAATGTCATGAAGGAATTAATATTAACTGACCAGCTTTATGCTTTTCTGGGACAGCATGGAATGGCGTTTGGGTATGAGATGTTGATAGCAAGGTATAAACTGCTGTCAAGTGACATTTGCAACTCTTGCTCCCTAAGGTCTTCCCATTCAGGAGGGTTTGTACACCAATTTATACTTGGTCACTTCTTGAATGGAAATTAAATCACAAACTGGATTGTTGTGCTCAATAGGAAAGGACAGCTGAGTCAGAGCAAGATGCTTCACATCTTGATTCTATTGACCCGGACATGCTGGCCTCACATAATAGAAAAAATGCTGTTATTCCTTCTCTTACTGTAAGCTGCAGAGAATTAGGAAACAGCTATTTTATGGCATAACTTCTATTCAGAAGCATTATTTGATGTAAATACTCTGTGCCTGCTTATGACCGGTTTTGTTCTATGGAGCTGTTTCCAAAAGGGTTGAGAACCCAACCAAGAAATGTAATCAAGTTACCTAAGAAAGACACAGTCTCTGAATCCCAATAGCCAGAACTAAAACCAAAAAAGACACTTACACCTCCACTACTGACAACGAAGAAGCCCAATACAGCTATGAATAATAAGGGCTGCAGAATCTGATCTGCTCTAGAGGCATCTGAGGAAGAATGGGACCTGGGAAGCTTCAGGAGAATGAACTGCAAGGCTTGACTAGTGGGAGAGCTACAGCACACAGGAATTGGACCAGCAAATGTTATTTAAACACACAAAGACAGCATTCTCACAAATATTACAATGCATGCTATCAGATGAACATAATGAGGAAATTAAGCATTTTTTAATTAAAAATATTGAACTGCCTAAAATGAGGGACCATAAGTAATCCTCTCTCGAGCTTATCTTTTGAAAACCCTGTAAACATTGGGTCTTTAAAGTACTATTACTTTATGCAATCAGTACTTGAACTGTTCTGCAGAGATCTCACTATCCACTCCTATCATTTAAGAGAACATATTTGCACATAAATGATCAGTTCATTTGCATTTGTGTTCCACTGAAAAAAAATTCACTGAGTTTTTGGGTATTAGCAGCTCAAATATGGATTTGTAGAAATGGAGTCGCACTGATCTGTTACCTGTTCCTCATGGACCAAAGATGTGCCTATAACTGTTAGTGAATTACGATTGATTCCCTTTGTGTCAAGCTGCACAAAGAGGCCATCTTAAAGTCAGGTATGGTAAATGCCTTTTTTGTGTCCATTTTCCTTTTAAGACAACATTTGACCACAAACGATTCTATACATTTCAGAGGAACACTTTTCCAAATAATAGAAATATTTTATTAATTCCCTTTGTCACAACCACAAAATGGCCATAAAGTTAATATAAGTTGGACAGCCAACTTTCTCTTTTAATGAAGTTTCCAAAATATGTGATTAATACTCACAAGTAAGCAGCCTTTCCTTCTTCCAGTTCTTTACTTTTTCCACTTGAACCACTCTTTTTACCACAGATCCTCCTGGTGATGCACATTAGTAATCCACATTGTCGTACAAAGAAGCAGCTAACATCAGTCACAATCAGGATTAATAAAAGGGCTGCCACTCCCAGGCCAATGACAGCACCAAGTCCAAGACCATTAAAAAGAGTGTCTTGAAGGAAAGAAAATTAAAATTCATTAATAAAATTCATCCCAAAGAATAGCATTTCCTAAAGCTTATAAGCTGTAGGCCAGGAGGCTAAAGGATGTTTAGAAATGAATCATTAAGAAATTAATGGAAATAAACTGTCCTGAAGATTAAGCATGTATACAACCTGATTAAAAAAAAAAAATCACAAAACACATCTTTTCTATATAATATTTTCCCATTGCCAAAATTCCAATATGGTCACAGAGCATAAATGACATTATTTAATAACAAATAACATCACATCTTAACATTCCAAGACTAAGAGTATCAGTATGCAGCCTAAGAAAAACATTTTAAATGTTCAACATAATAATAGTTGATATGAGTTGTCAATTTCCACATTTCAAATATAATTAATTAGCAGTGGTGCTACACAGAGTTACTGAAAGGTTTCAGAGTGTGCCAAACCAGTATTTATTCTTGAAAAGGTCATTTTTTTAATTAAAGCAAAATGAAAAAGTCTTCAAAGAAGTTAATTCAAGCTATTTAATCTGCAAACAGTTGCACACACTTAGTCTTAAATAAATTAGTATGAGGAAAACTATGTATATTATTAAATGATTATAGGGTTAGGAACTCATTTTGTAAAGTCTTGTATCTTGAAAATACATTCATACAGTTCAAAATAAACATATTCCACACCTGATCTTGCTTGCTTTATTTGTATTATGAAAGCTGATGCCTAGCTAATCTTACTTCATTACAAATCTCAGAAAAATATATTTTCATATTTTGACTCAGTTGACATTTCCATAACAGACAGTAATGCTACAGACTGTTTTGAATAGTGTGATTCTCAAAAGAACTATTGTGTTTGTGAACTCAGATGACCCTTATAAAGGAGAGGACTTGTATCTGATCAATAAACTAGGGGGAAAAAAAGTCTTCTCAGTAATGGTTCATGCACCCAGCTAAATCAAGAAGGTGCCAGTCTAGCTCAGAAATTGGCTAGTGACAATTGCGTTGTGTGACACTATGTCCTGAGCAAACTCCATAGGGGAGTGGAACTGGGTTTTTTTGCATGTTGGTGTTGCACATGAGCGTTGCTTGCTTAGTGTTACCATGCCTTGGAGTGATGCATGAGTCAGCAGTGCAGTGATATATTTCCATTTGCAGCTGTATCTGTGCCTGTTGCCAAAATAGGAGCAAGATTTTTCTGACAGGAGAGCATTCGAATACTGTTGTAACAGACACCAAAACATAATATAATGTAATAAAATAAAAATGTTTTAATGGGGCTACTGTTACCATCTTCCTCTTCTTTCTCTTCCACCTCCCTGATACATTGTGGACTGTTTTCAGATTAAGAATATCACTTAAGCTTTCCTATTGCTGCTTAACTAATTTTTAAGAAAGTATCTATTTACCTTTTCAAACAATTTGAAAATTACTTTCTTGAGGACTTCTAAATCAATACATACTAACAGAAATATATATTCTGTTAGTCTATGTGACAGAATTCTTAAATGGAAAACTTTTCTCAAAAGAAGGGGAACATTTTACTTCTTATGTAATTGATTCATAGTCTATTGTATGGGTTGTTTCGTTATAGAACTGTTCTTCAGAATGTTATTATGCAATAAGTCAGAATTCAATGAATATATTTACATGGATGGATAGGCAGATAAACAGGCAGATATTACTTCAAGGTTACTTTCCTTTCTTCAGAAAGACTTAAAAAACATCATATAAATAACAAAAATAATGGCACGTTAATGAAATGATGTATCATTTATGCATAGCTCCATCAGCAATATTGGAAGTTGACATTTCACAAGAATTCATTTTCTTTCTTTTTTTTCCAACATCAACATTCCTAGTTAAATATTATAATTTCTGATACATCTTCCAAAACTTACTTTATCCACACATTCACCCATCTATTTGATGACTTCCTTTGTAAACGTCAGTCATTTATGTTTACCAGTCTGAATTGTCAGGAAGATATAAATGATATTTAATTCCAGTTTATTGAAAAGCTCATATGTTTCAACAGATATAATACTCGTAAATTCTATACAGTCCAGTTTTAGACAGTTTTTATACAGCAAAGTTTTCCTCTCTATACCTTCTTAACCACTAAATAAAATGTGGAGGAGAAAAAATTAGGGTTTTTTATTCCATATTTTTAAAGGGATTTGGGGTTGTTTTGTTGCTGTTGCATTTTTAGGATTTTTTTTTTCTTTTTTTAATGCAGTGTTAAGAAATCTTTACCATGGGGAGATACATTTTTCACTGATGTAAACAGCATTTCCAGTGTCACTGGAATATTGTGATGTGGCAAGCCTCCCTCCCCCCCCGAATGATTCAGTGACACAAAAGCCTACACAACATTTTCACTGGCAAGTAAAGGAAATGTTTATAGTAACAATATTACTCCTTTGTACAATGATATTCAGATTGATTTGCCATAGTTGTGGGTAAGACTTTGTTTTTCATTGTTTTTCTTCTTGGTATTGGTGGGACATCTGAGACCTAAATATTTGACTGTTACATATTTTTCTATCTCTTTATGACTGATAATTTCCTTTTTGTTCAGTATTCCCCATCCTTACTACTGCCCTACTTGTCCCAAATCCTATTTTTCTTACTTGCAACCCATTTGTCCATACAGGTTTCTTTTTCACAACATTTGAAAGTCTGATTTCTTATGTTTGCCAATACCTTTCCAACATTTGTCTCCTTTATCTCCCACACCCCAAAGAGCGACAGGAATGTGTCCACATCCTGCTCTGGGGTGAGGAGCACTGCTGTCATCAGCCTTCTCACCTGTCTTAGGCTTTAAAAGTACCTTTGTTATGGTTTATTTTTAATATTAATGAAAATAGATAATTTTTTTTTAAGTTAATCTTTGGCTTAATTCTATTCTTTCTTAAATTGCTGTGACTTTGTACTGGTCTATCTGCTCCCACAAAAGTCAGTTGTAAAACTAATGCAAATCTCTATTAAAGCAGACTTAGGTCTGTCCTGACTGCTTTCAAAAATCATATCTTAATATATCTATGGTATCAAAACAATGTGAAATTTTGTCTTAAGATCTTATGAAATCAAAGGAAGTATTAATTCTGTGACTGGATGAAATGTTAATGTTATACTACATATAGCCTTTCAACCAACTTTGAAAAACACCTTTGTTATCAAAAAGTTTTGCCCTAAATTAAATTGGGAATAGCTTTACTGCAACAATTCTTAAACAATAAAAAATAAATAAATAAACCCCCCCACATTATAAGGCAATGATTTTATATTTTTTTTAACAATGTTCCAGTATGTACCAAATGGACTCAAAACATTAGTTCCACTTTATGCTCTACAACAATAAAGTATTTATACATTATATGCCTTTTTTTCCTAGTTGAAAAAAACACTTTTATGATTTTAAATTTTAAAAAATAAATGTTAATGTGAGACAATCAGTTCTTAACAACTTTGTGAAAAGGTTTACTGTAGACCTGACTTAGTAATCTAATCATAGTGGAGCTTTTTAAAACACTGGTTGAAAAAAAAAAGTGCAAGTAAGTTCCACAGTTCTGAGTAAGTTTCAATTATCATTTGTCAAAAATATGCCAAATTTAAAATTATATGCTTTTTGTTATATAGAATGTGACATAAATAATATAATACACCTTGCCATGATAATGAAGGAAACCATCAACTTTAAACAAAGTTACTTCATTCATCCACTTCCTCAAATCAGTGGTCATCAATTAATACTTATGGAAGTAAGATTACAAAACTTTCAGAAATGCAATTTAAAAAATTGAAGCAAGTTTCTATAAAAGGCATGGAAAGTATTGGCAATTTACAAGTTCCCACTTATTCATTAAGTTGTGTTTCTAACTTCTAATAAAATAACTGAACATTTTTGCACAAATCATTATTTGAATGGGAAAGAGCAGTGAAGAGCTTTGGCAAGTAAAACAGAATTTCCCAGTGAAGAGAACTAACTGGAAAGATAAATTTTCTGGACCCTCAAATGTAAGTTCAGACTGAATTCCTTTAAGGAGTCTATATCAGATACTCTAAAGGGAAGCGGGTCTAAAGAGAGTGCCACCATCTACATATGCACACAGAATATACAGTTATACTTTGTATGTGGAAAACTAAAAGCTTTTGCCTCTGCACAAAGGGACAGGAACTTAATATGCAACATTAAGACATTTGGACTGACGTTACATGAATGTATGTCCTTTGATGTAACAGAATTTCTCCATACTCTTACAGAATCACATTGTATATATTCAACTGCTGGTACAATAAAATATTAATTGCAAGCTTTATAATAAGTACTCTGCTTGAGCAGGGGGTTTGGGCAAGATGACCTCCAGAGGTCCCCTCCAACCTCAACCATTCAGTGATTCTAAGTTTTGTTGGAAAAAAGAAGCAAGTTAGCACCTTTTTGTGCCTTACTTCCCATCTCCTCCTCCTTAGCAGGCATGGATTAAAGGAAAAAATCAAAGATAGATGATTCTATATAGCCCTTAACCTTTTAGAGTAATTTACATTTTTAAAGAAAAAAAGTAATGTTATTAAACACTTTCCTGCACTCATAGGGTAGCACCTGGCAGCTACATTTGAATGGATGAGAATGAGTGTGCAGGGATACTATGCATAAGTTTGTCCTTTCTTTCAGATCAGTCTGAAGCTCAAGTAGGAACTGCTCTCGAGCTAAAGTAGTTGAAAATTATGAGCTAGAGGATGAATTTGAAAATATTGCACTGGGTAGTGGCAGAAAAAAAGCACATTCTTATTTATCATCTTGAACTGCTCTGCTCTATTGACTCTTAAAAAAAGGCTGTCCAATCATGATGGTATTTCTTCACTGCCTATGAATGTTGTCTTTGAATTTTAGATATGATCTGGAACTTTTCTTAGAACCAAAGGCTTACAAGATGTATATACTTATTCAAAATCTCTAAAAAGATAGAAAACATAGATCTTAAAAATCAGTATCCATTGAC